GCCCTACTACTTGAGCCTACTCACATCGATTTTCTTTTGCCTCTGGCTCTAATACATAGTATTCATTCTTTGACTGTTCGTTAGACCCATGGTCTCATTTTTTAGTGTCAAGAAAACAATAAAAAAAAAAAAAAACCTTTTTTTTCCCTTTTATTCTAGGACTCAAAACAAAATGCAAAAAAAATACCTCTGGCATTAATTTTGCACAGATGAATGCTGTTACAGTATTCCTATTAGCATGTCCATGTGCTTGACAACATTTCAGATGGTATTTATAGGAATTTTCTGCCAGCCTGGTGCAAATTGCCAGAACCTTTAGGACACTCTTCCTCAACACAGAAGCAGTATATCCTCATTACCTGTGGCTGGACCAAGAAATCACATTAGTCAATGCCTGAATTGTTCCTTTACTTTCAGTGGTTTAAGAAACCCACTTTGTTTTGGAAATGGGGTTAGCTGAGTATATTTTAAAAGACTCAGAAATCTAAAAAGAGCAACAGCTAGGAGATTTAGGGGATATTTAGGATGTTTTATTTTTCTATGTTTCATTGATCTTTGAAAGATAACCTTTGTCAGACCAAATGGAATATGCCCATGTTTTGAATGGAGGCCTGGTAAAGTCCTGAGGCCATGGAAGTACACCCTTTAGATCATTAGGGAACAACTGAATTGTATTAATAATGGTTTTTAAAACTTGAATGTTTTTCATACCCGTGTTCTGAATATGTCGTACCTCTTATTATCTTATACTAGGTCCAATGGTGAATTGGGAAATGGGGAAACTGAGGCCAAGTCACTTGCATGAGGTCACACAGCTATTAAATGCTAAAGTTAGAACCCAAAGCTAAATTGGTCTCCAAAGCCCATGCTTTTAACTCCTGTGCTGTATTAATTATGGCTTAAAGAAACTAAGTATAATAGCTAATGAATAGGATCTGCGTTTGGACCAATAGAGTATATAAAGGTGTTGTAAAATTTATTTTCCTTGCTATACAAAAGTTCTCTGTATCATTTCATTCTTCTTTTTAAAGAATACTTATTCCTTTGGGACTGACAACAAATTTCAAATTTACTCCTCTGGGAGTGCTTGACAACAAAGAGGGTCTGATGTATTGGGGAACTGTTGAAGGGTCAACTTGCCTTCTTTGTCTTACTTACTCTGTTCTCTTTTTTTTATCCTAAATAGATTCACTCAAATGTAAGAAACATGAGGTATTTCTGAATAAAGTTTGAAGCTATGTATGAACCAGTTGGGCCTCAATAATCTCACCTCAGAGTATTCTGTTCTTCACAATATTATAATTCAACAGTGCCTGTTGTATGCGTCTCCAGGAGTTGAAACACTTGATAATTAGAAGCAATGATACAAATGCAAGTAAATTTAGGAGGCCAGTGGCATAAAAATATCAATTTCTGATAAAAACTGCATGGACGCACACACAAATACACTCACCTACACACCTTTATTTTAAGTAGAATAAAATGTGACTAATTTCTTTTCTAAAGCTCAGTTCTTTGTAGGTGAGTGTCACATCTATATAGTAATTTAAGAACTGTCTATTTAAAGATCTCATGGTATAATTTATAGATTTCTCAGTGTGTTTGAGAAGTGTGGTCATTACATTTTGTTGGTCTAATTAGTAATGCACATATGTCTGTTTTTAGTGACATCATGACATTACTGTTCATAAGGCCATTCTTTCTTGAGGATATCATTACTTTCTATTGAAGAATTGATTTCACTCTTTGTTTAAATTTTCATACTGGTTGCTATATGAAATGTACAACTGAATGTCATGAAGGATTTAATACGAATGTACATTAATTTTTACAAGGTTTGCTCAGCTTTCAGGGTACTCGCTGTCTATGAATTCTTATGTTTAGAAGGTTGTTTACTCTTTAGTCAGTCTAGCAAATGGGGCTTGGGGTAAATGAACTCATTCTCATGCACATGTTTCTAAAACAGTTCTTACTAATGTTTCAGATAAATTAAAATAAAAACCAACAAGAACATGAAAAGAGACTAAGAACAATGTTAATGTGGCAATTTAAACCAGTTTGGTTTTCCAAATGACCTTCCATCTTTCACAACTTTTAACAGTATGCAAGATCACTATCATTAGTGCCAGACACTATCAGTCTGGTGTGGAAAACTTAAAACTTTTTTCTAAATGTCTTTAAAGCTGAGATGGAGAAGAATGACTCTCTCTCTTTCACTTCCCCATGGGTCTAAGGTTGAATCATGGCTATGCTGTCCTCCCAACATATCACTTATTGATTATCCAACATAGTTTTCTCTTTTACTAGCGTGTACCATGCCTCAAAATTATCTTCTGTAGAGCTTTAGGTTTGAGACAGAGTGTATGGGGAGGGCATGCTTAGGAGGACCAAGAGCCCCTATGTATTTAGAGAAAGTAAATCATTGTGCTTTCTAATTTACTTAATTTACTGCATATAGAACTCTGGCAGTTTGGAATTTTGGATACTACTGATTTTACCCTGCATGTTTCTAAGAATATTTAGCTTTATATTTGCTATCGACTTCACTAATCCATTCCACAGTGAGTGGAGAGACGGTTATCACTATATTAATGTTGCAGCCAACAACAAGTTACAGAAAACCCAAAGTAATAGAATATATTTAAGGTGAATCTGGCACAACCCATTTGCCATCTTTCAGTATAATGCTTTGTTGTAACTAAAACTTGAGAGGGGTCAAAGCTTATGAAGATGGATGGTATCCCTCGTGTTGTCTGTCTTCTTTAGGGGTAAGATTAACAGTTAGAGATATAGGTTCTTTTCAGAAAAGTGCATGCTCCTTTTCTGTGAATACATGTAAGAATTTACCCAACTTCATTTTGGATTAATAGAATTCTGAATACCCAAATCTACCAAGGAGGATCATTATGATAATCTCTAATTGGTAATTACATTAGCAGATAAAACTAACTTCTTTTGCCCTGAAGTTTGAAACACCAAGTTGCCTTTTTTTGCTTTTTTAATTTTTTTTTTT